TAGCGATGGCCTCCAACCTACTAGCGATGGCCTCCAACCTACTAGCGATGGCCTCGAACCCAATAACAATGGAACACCGTGCACATTGCATCTCCCTGCTTCCAGGGGATTCAATCAAGTCGGTATATCTCACCAGAATCACATCGATGCAGCTCGTGGGAAATCGTGCTTCACCCTTGCCATCAATCTGCATCATCTTCGGACATTTGCCACACCTTGCCAGAGTAATATTCATACACCTCGTTGGCAAGTGTGCTCCACATCTACCAACAATGTGCATCATTTTCAGACAAGCACGATAGCGACGCTGCAAACAGAAATCGCAACCTCTTGAAAGAACCGAACCGTTTACCAAGATGAGCCCATGCACGCGAAATTCCCGTGTGCACGATCTCACCACGGCCTGGACTTTAATGCTCTCGGTTCAAAGATTAAAGATCGCGATGCTCGTCCAGCAAAGAGAAATAGTCGTAACACCTGCCGATGGCATAAAAGCAGCTGCAAGCAGACCTCGAGTGATCCGTGGCGTGGGGCATTCTCTTCAATCCTTAGGTGAAGTGGTTTGAAGCGAACAAGGTGCACTTTGTCCAATTGAACGAAGGACAGTGTGCAGAATAGTTCATTCGGATGCGCGTGCATTTGTGCCATTCGACCATCAGACTCCAGCAAATGGCAAATGTGAGTCTCTGCCGCGTTATGGCTTTGGTAAGCTTGGCTGCGTGGCGCCAAAGTTGCGCCAAGACTGCGTGGCCTTCGGAACCTTCCTGACTCTTTCGATTTAGCATTTCTCTCGGTATTTTGAGCCATGAATGCAGCGTCGAGCGGCCAGCGTTTATCGCCGGTTTCTCCCAAACTGCCACTACCCGGAGAAAGTCTGCCTCGCAGCCCAGAGCATGGTCGTCGACGTTCTTTGTCCATTTCCATGCATGCGGATGCCCCCGTACTTCGAAGCCCTGAGGGCTGGAATTATGGCTTGCAACAAGAAGCTACTAGGGGCTCCTGGCCTTACTACTAGGAGCAAGGACGCTACTAGGGGCTCCTGGCCTTGCTGCTAGGGCTTTGACCTCATACCGTGATAATTACCCAACCAATGCTGGGACGCTTTTGCCTGAATCCGAAGCATAGCACCAAAGCCCGAAAATTGACTGAGGACATATCCGCTGCAGCGCTGGTTGGCGTTCCTGCTCTATTTTATGCTGAGTGCCAACGACGGTTTCGTGAAGGCCAAATCAAAGCGGAGTGGCGCTGACGGGCATCACTACTTTCCGTATTCTTTGTCCTCTGTGATGCTCGTGTCATGTGCTATCTCACTCATGGCCGGTGTGGCCACCACTTTGCTCCATCACGGCCTTGAAAGCGGCTTGCAGAAATGTTTTTACCTCCCATCCATCAAGGCAGTGGCGCCCATCAATGCGCTTTTTCAGGTGCGTGGTTGCAAGGGTTTTGTCAGTCTCTTTCTTCTTTCATATTCTTGATGATCTTGATTCTGATGCAAAAAAGGATGCAAAACTCAAGAAATAGGTATTTCTTTCCGTTCTTCTTTTACGGCCTTCGTGGCGTCTCTTCAGGTGGCCTTTGTGTTGAAGTTCGAAGCGCTGAGGCTACTAGAGCCTGATGTTGTGTCACTCCTCTCTCAAGGAAACTTGGTGCTTTTGGCACTTGCATCCAGGATCTTTATGGGAAGGCTCTATCCACCTTCGCAATGGATCTCTTTGGTGCAGATGACGCTTTTAATGTTCCTGTATTTGGTGCTCAGAGGTGAAAAGAAGAGACACTTGGAGGAGGAAGAAGAGCATCTGCAGCCACCCCCTGATCGATATATCCAAGGTTATTGCATTGTATTGATTATGAGCATCATTGAAACATGCGCGACAATCTGGGCTGAGACGTTTCTGAAGCAGAGAGGTAAGAAAGAAGAACAACCCACGTTGGAATTCTGGGTTCAAAAAGTTCATGTCGACTTGTCCGGCTTGATTCTCACGTTCATCTGGGTGATTATGCCCTATGTGTCCGGCCAACTCTCAGACTCCGAATGGATTTCTGCGGTTTTGACCAGCTTGAATTCTCAACAGATTCTTGAGGAAGGCCTGTTTTCCGGGTGGGACCGCTGGACGGTGGCGGTTGTCTTCATGGTGGTTTCCAAGGCGCTTGGGCTTGGGCTTATCACCAACAAAGAAGCACTTGATTTTGATAAGATATGCGATGTTTTAGCAGCGAAAGGGGCCAATTGTTCTCACGAAGACAACAATGCTCGTAACATGTAATGCGATTTTGTTGCGTTTCATGTGCATTGTTTGAGTTTGTTTCTGGTTCTTGTAAACACTGGCCACCTTGTGAAACCACCTACGTGTACAGACAGAGGCGTGGCTCGCTGGACTCGTGGCGAAACTCTTGGATTCTGTTGTGAAACAAATTGGTTCCTGCCTGGCTATCGCAGCTTTCAGCAATGCAACACCATTTTCTGTTTCTTTGATAACCTGAGTAGACTGGTCTTGAAACTTCAACCGTGAGGGAAGCAAAGAAAACTCTGAGGAAGCTTCCCTGCCCTGTACAGCGGGGAGAAGCTTGCAAGGAAGTGTTGGAGGCCATCGCTAGTCATCGCTGGTAGGTTGGAGGCCATCGCTGGTAGGTTGGAGGCCTTTGCTATGAGGTTGGAGGCGATAGCTTAGATTCTAGGTTGGAGGCCATCGCTAGAAGGGTCGAGGCCACCGCTAGTAGGTTGGAGGCCATTGCTATTGGGTTGGAGCCATCCATTGCTTCTGGGTTGGAGGCCGTCGCTAGTAGGTTGGAGGCCATTGCTATTAGGTTGGAGGCCATTAGGTTGGAGGCTATCGGTATTCGGTTGGAGGCCATTGCTATTAGAATTTTCTATTTGTCTAATAACCAGAGTAGGAAGGGTTTCTAGAGGTTGGAGGGCTGAGCCGCAGGCAATGCCACATATGACACATGCCACAGCTGCCACACCCACTAAGGGCTTGACCTATGTGGAAGTGGTTATTTGGAGTGGTCACGATTTTAATGCTCCCACCATTGTGAGCCTGGCTTTGCTGTTGCTGGCGATGCTAAATTTTGTCGTAGCCGGAGCCGGCTACCCGCAGAGAGCCGGCTACCCGCCGAGCGACGTGCCAAAGAAGACCTCGAGTGCTAGTGTCGGACAGTCTAACAACGTAGCGGCAACAGCCATGGCGCACTCTCCGCGGCCACGCTGTGAGTCTCCATGCTCCTCAGCGGAGCACTCTCCACGACGTTACGAGGGTCAGGAATGGGTGTCGAACTACAGAGGCCTCGGTGTCAGGGGTGTGGCAAAGCCTGGTTCCACGGAAACAGCGAATCCAGGGAAGAGAACAGCAGAAGAGGACGACCGGTACAAAGACTATTTTACGCATGAGATCGCTGTCGAAAGGACATTTACAGAGCCCGATGAACATTCTTTACAGGGTCACATGGGCACAGATGTCCGAAGGACATCTTCAGAGCCCGATTCTTCGCATGAGGACTTTTTCTCGCAGGAAAGGTCGCTTCTTGTGCCAACTGAGTTTGACTCAATTTCGGAATTTGCCTAGAACCTTCTAGCCAGCGACCTCGAAGCTCGGGTTCTAATTAAATTCTAATTACAGTAAATTTGAAGTTAACATTTAATGAGCCCCTAGTAGCGTCCTTGCTCCTAGTAGCGATGCCCTTTGCTTCTAGTAGCGTCCTTGCTCCTAGAGGTCCTTCTAGCCAGCGACCTCGAAGCTCGGGTCTACTGCAGTAGCAAGGTGTGATGGAATGACATGAAGCACAGTGACAACACTTCGCTTAGTCTGTCAGCATTTGATGTCAGTTCTTGAAGATGACAGCAGCTGAACACTGATTGCAAAAACGCAGAAGACATTTGAACGAAGGAACACCGAGTGCGCGTGCAATCTGGGGACAACCAGCCATGGGGTGCAGAGCCCGGTCAGTCGCCCGGTTCGCAGGCTGATCAAACGAGCCAGAAGCCATCTCTCATTACCCTGTTTCTTTTTCCTTGTTTTCCTTCACTTTGATTGTTTTATCTTTTTCTTCCTTTCTAGCTTCCTTGCTTTCTTCCTTTCCAATGGGCCAACTTTGTCACAAGATGTCACAAGACTGAGATGGCCCTGGGTTTGCGGGCACTGTTGGGGAGACAATGTTGCTGCTGGCAGGATTGCTACTGCTGGCGTGGCCACTCACCTTCTTACAAGGAGCAGGTGCAGGGCATGACATTCAAGTTTTGATGGCTATTAGGTTGGAGGCTATCGCTAGTAATTAGTAGTGCTATATATTAGTAAAAAGTGGAATGTAAGTCAGTAGAGTCGATTCATTCAGAGAACCTACTGCGAACTGTGTCTGTGCAGTGCAGCCTCACGATGCCGCGATAGGTGTTTTGGCTGGACACCAAGCGCAGGGAAGACAGGCCAGGAAATTTTTCAGCAAAACCCTGAACAAGCTCCGCCAACATTGAACAGGTGAATGTCAAGTTTTCATGAATGGTTCTGGTCTCCATCCAGTTGTCTCCATGTTCAGAAGCAACCCTCCGAACTTTGATGTACCTGAACTGAAAGAACTGGGTAAGCCCGGGCAAGCTGTTGTCCCAACAAAGCTACACAATGCTACCACCCACTCCTGTCACTACCGAACTTCTACTCCTTGCGTTCCCCGAGGCACTTTCTTTCGAAGGCTTCTAGTAGGTCTTCGGTCAAAGTCAGAACCTTTCTAAACGGCTTTGACGTGGTGCTACCCTGTCCTTGCTCCTAGTAGAAATGCCCTTTGTTCCTAGTAGCTTCTTGCTCCTAGTAGTAAGGCCAGGAAGCTACTAGTCGCGTCCTTGCTCCTAGTAGCGATGCCCTTTGCCCCTAGTAGCGTTCTTGTTCCTCATTTGAACACCCAAGGTGCCATGTTCCGCCTCGGCCCGTGTGGCCCGACGCTACTGGCAGTCTTCCGGCCCGAAGCCGGACGAGGAGTGACGGGCTTCCGCACCGACGTAGCCGCGGGCTGTTCTCTTTCGGCGGCCCCAAACTACTAGCTTCGGCCTTCGATATAAGGACGCTACTAGGGGCTCCTGGCCTTAAGGAACAAGGACGCTACTAGGAGCAAAGGGCATCGCTACTAGGAGCAAGGACGCTACTAGGGGCTCCTTATCAGGAACATATTGAGAAAAAACAAGGAGCAGTTCGGAAGACCGATGGACCGATGGTATTGTTATTCGTCGTGTGGGGGTGATTAAGCCAATGGTATCACCATTGGCGACCTTTTTGGAGAAACCTGCTATCAAATCTTGTCAAGACCTGTCGTCATTTTCTCATGTTTCTGAGGAGACCGTTGAAGGAACAGTGATCCCAGGGCTGATCTTGGGATCAGTGGCGCTCTACTTGTCGGTCTATCCGCTGACGGTTGGTGCGCCTTGGTTGAGAACTCCAGCATGGACCCCGGGACCCTTCTTGAGAGACTCATGAGCAAATTGATCGTTAGTGGGTTGGAGGCCATCGCTAGCAGATTGGAGGCCAATTGGAGGCCATCGCTAGCAGATTGGAGGCCAACTGGAGGCCATTGCTAGTAGGTTGGAGGCCATCGCTAGTAGATTGGAGGAGATTGGAGGCCAATTGGAGGCCATCGCTAGTAGGTTTGAGGCCATCGCTAGTAGGTTGGAGGCCATCGCCAGTAGGTTGGAGGCCATCGCAAGTAGGGTGGAGGCCATCGCTAGTAGGGTGGAGGCCATCGCTAGTAGGGTGGAGGCCATCGCTAGTATCGGTAATAGGGTGGAGGCCATGCATCGCCAGTAGGTTGGAGGCCATCGCTAGCAGGTAGGAGGGCCTTGTTTTCCTGCTCTTTTTATCCTATTTCTCTTGAAGGGATGATCATCCATGATCCCATGTTCTCAATCTCAATAGTGGCGATATCATCCTTGAGCGGTTAAGGTCTTCCATTCTTCGCTTGTTTCTATACGGAACTTCCCTTGTTCAGGTGACACCGGAGTTCTTGGTGTCACTGGTGATCCTGGCGATCCTGGGCATCGGGGGGAATGTCTTGGCCTTGGCAGCCAACATGAACCTGCCAGGGCCCGAGCTGATGGACCGATGGTGCGGACCGAAGGGAGGACCGAGTGCCCAGGCCAACCTGGATCGATTTTCAGATTCAGAAGCGGAACCAGAAGGCGAAGAAGGCCTAGTGTCCCCGATGTTGGAACTGGTAAGCGATAGAGTTCAACAAAGAGGGACGGCAGCTGTTGCATTTGTTAGGAATCGGAAATCGGAATGGAGATGGCAAGGCAAAGAATCCACAAAATTTCCAGCCTTGGTTCCAGGATAACTTCTGGCCATGGCAGCGATGAGCCTTGCAGAGCGGCAAGTTACAGTCGTTGATCGCTTTGAAAAGGATGTCGCGATCTGACGTGGTGAGGAATGCACCCCGAACAAAAAACCGATTGCTTTGATGAATAGCTTGACCTCAAAAAGAAGAGAACTAAAGAAAAAGAATACGTTACCAAAGGTTTAAAGAAGGAAATAGACAAGAATCAAAAAGGAAAGACACGTTTCAAGGTCTAGAAGCAAAACTAGCAACGCCCGAAAAGAAACGCACGATAAATGGTGCTTCCAAAACGGAACGAATCTGCATTGCCAAACTGCATGTAAACGAGAAGAGCTTGTGCCAACCTGATGTCAAGCTTCCAGTTTGGTCAAACAGCATCCATGCTGCCGGAGGGTTGCAGTCCTTTCCATCCCAAAGAAAGAAACAGCTGGAGCACAATACCTTTCAAGTGCTAGCTTCTTGCTACTACTAGTAAAGCCAGGAGCTACTAGTAGCTTCTTGCTCCTAGTAGCGATGCCCTTTGTTCCTAGTAGCGTCCTCTTGCTACAAGTAGTAAGGCCAGGATCCCCTAGTAGCGTCCTTGCTCCTAGTAGTAAGGCCAGGAGCCCCTAGTAGCGAACATTGCCCCTAGTAGCAATTTTTCTATTTATTTTTTGCTAGAATTCCTTTGCTAGTAATTCTAATTGAATTCTATTTAGATATTGTTTCTACTAGCTTCTTGTTACTACTAGTAAGGCACTTGTTACTAGAAGCGATGCACTTGTTACTAGTAGCGTCCTTCCGTCCTTCCTTATAGCTTGTGGTATCATGGCCTTCACACGATTACAACAAGCAGCCTACATCGGACGCTTGGAGCTTTGTCGCCTTTACGCTCGATCGAGACTCAATTTTTGAAGCCGGTCTTTACTTAATTAAGGGCTTGGGTGTTCCTAAGCTATTAGGAACAAGAAGCTACTTGGGGCTCCTGGCCTTACTACTAGGAGCAAGGACGCTACTAGGGGCTCCTGGCATCGCTACTAGTAGCAAGAAGCTACTAGTAACAAGAAACCCTCCTCCTAAGTAGGCGCCTACTAAATTAAGTAAGGGACAGTCTTGTTGACTCCTAGCTACTAGGACTCTACTACATATGGACGCAGGATAGCATTCGCACTGATGATTTGGTTCCTAGATCTTTAGGGAAACTTATATTACATCAACCTGGCAACTGTTTGCAGTGGTTCATTGCAACCCTCGAATCCGCGCAAAATTCCGGAAGACTCTTGTGTTCGAGGTCTTATTCGTAGAATCAGACTTTCTTTCCAACTTAGGGCAAACATGCTCCAGCTCGATATCTCGAGGGTGCATCACGTCTTCAATCCTTTGTGCAAAAGCATGGACTAGCCACTACTACAAGCTCCTAGTAGCTTCTTGTTACTAATAGCTTCTTGTTACTACTAGTAAGGCACTTGTTACTACTAGCGATGCACTTGCTACTAGTAGCTTCTTGTTACTATGCAATACTTGACTTTCTATCTTAGGAGATGTTGTTGCAGTTCGCCAACTGCTGTCTCAGCGAGCTGCAGTACATGAACGTGGCTGTGCAGGCGGTTGCTTCGGTGCATCCGGGATCGACGCAGAAAGGATAGGTCGCGTAGGAAGGTTGTTCACCGTGTTCACCTCCTCGGCTCATCGCGATATTTGACATCGCTCTTTGCGTCTTTCGTTGACCGCAATCTCTGAACTCGTCCAGCTCAGCGGACTTTTGTTCTCCCCTGCGCTTTTCCAAAGAGGGCTTGCTGTGCTTTTCCTATTGCCTCCAACCTGCTAGCTTCTTGATTTCGCAAATCTTGAGGTCGCCTGCAGAGAGAGTTTCTTCTGTTTTTGCACTCTGTCTCCAAACTCTAACACTAGTAGCACGAAGCAAGGCGGGACACAGCGCCCGAGGCAGGACTCGCCCTTGGCCTTCACACCGTCAACGCGCAAAGACCGCAATGCTCACACTTTACTTTTGCCACCAAGAGATAATTTTGACAATGGACAATGGATGTAAAGTCGAACACCAGTCCAAGACTTAAATCAGCCAGACAGCCAGAGACAGTCAGACAACACACATGCACCTCAAACCAATTTGCAATGGACCGTAAATGCAAACACCACAGGGCATACATGATCCACCGGCCCACCATCTCCTTGCATTGGCACCTGCATTGGCACGTAGAATCCGAGCCCAAGCTCGTGCTTGCGGCGCTCCGACCTCGGATCTAGCCGTGCCGTCGGTGCAGTCAGCGTGGTTTGGTTCAGGTTGGAGCACACAGGACGAGTGAAGACTCGAAAGAGCTTGGTGGAAGTTCGGTTCAGAGTGTCACGCGAGTTCGTTGGGATGCAAGGAACGTTGTAGCGAGTTGACTCGGTGCATTCCCCCTCCTGGAATCGAGGCCCAATCTCATGGTCAGA